CAGGGCAGGGGGTCGGACTCGATGATCTATTGAGGTCCCTTCCGACCCTGACATCTATGAATCCAAGCTAAGAAAAAGACAGTGCAAGTACACATCATACAGAGTCAGAGAGTAGCTAGCATTTCAAAATTTTAATTGTAGTCTCTAAAGCAATGCTTCCCAACCTCCTTTGGTCAAAGGCAGTCTTTGGAAATTGCCAACTCTTAGTTTTCACTCTTTTGGGGGGTTTTTGACTGCAGAAAAATACTAGATCAATTCTTCTGTTGCAAACTCAAGAAGACCACAGCAGGGCTACATGGTTTTAACACTATGGATTCCTGTTTGAAATTGCTGGGTTTGATTTATGAATCGTGTCTGCACACCTAACAGTGCTAACATCGCACGGCACGCTCCTGTGCCAGACAGATCCACGGCATTAAACCCGAAAGCTCATCTCTACTCTACATGGATCATTATGAAAAATTAGTACGAACTAGATCCCACAGCTCGCTGAACAGGCCCAGATCAGCATTCTGCCTGTCTGACTAATAGAGACAAAGCAGCCCCAAGGACATCCATTAGAAAAGTACAAAGACCCATGAAAACTCTTGGAAAATTTACCAGTAATATGGACTAAAGCTAAAAGGTTCTGTATAAAGTACTACAACGAGCCCGCAGAACCTGTGTATTCAAAGGATCATAAAGCACCCCAGAGTGTCACGGCACCCTGGTCAAGAATCGCTGCTCTGAAGTGTTAAGAAAAGGTATTTACATCTAGGTTGGGGTTTTAAATGGGGGGGAGAAGGGATGCAATTCGGCTCATTTGCAACAGTGTAAATCAGACAACTCCATGAAAGTCAAAAGCAGTTAACGAACATAAAATGGGTGCATTCAGGGGAGAATCTGGTCCATCTCTGTAGCTGGCTATTGAGGACAAAGCCAGCTCATCAAGTACAGCACAGGTCTTTCTGCAAAACCCGAATACAGGACATCTGCTAGTTACCGTACCTTGTCACATCCAGAGCTTTCTGCACCTTTGCCTGCACAGATCCCAGCAAATCTGCCCCCATCTTCTTGAGCAGCTGCGTCAGGAGAACAAAGAGCCAGTCTTGCAAGTCATCCTTATGGATGATGATGAAGTCAACCAGGGTTTCTAGAAACATGCTGAAAACCTACAGATAAATGCAAATTGAACACACACAAAAAAAGGAAAATTATATTCTTAGTAGAAATATCAAGAGGGGAAGTCTTTAGAAATCTGTGCTTTACAAGGATTTGGTTATAGTCAGTTTATAGATGGATGTTTTAGTGAACGTGTTAGCAACTGGGGATCGTGGGCAGCACACATCCGGGATGTGTTGGGTTGCAATGTCGCGTTAACAGAGGGAAGGAGAGGGGAGAAGACACTTACTCTCTGTTGTGAATTCCACCGCAAAGCAGGCCATGCAACAAAACAAACCGGTCGTTAGTACACGGAGGGAACCAATGCTGACTGCTCTGGGGCAGTTTTTTCAGTGGATAAAAAAAGCATTCATAAAAGGTTGATAACATCTTTTACTAAAGCTCTCATGTTTTAAACCACAGTTATTTGAATATTACAAATCTAGGTCCAAATCCAGTCCCCTTGCTCATGAAAGCAGTGCCTTTAACCAACAGGCATGCCCACACCAAGTAAGGAGAGCGGGATTCATTTTTCTGGATATATAAGTCCCCCCCTTTTTGCAATTAAAGTTGTTTTATAGTCTATTCTCTTGCTACCTCAACCCAGTTTGTTCCCGTACCCCAGGCTGGTACCACAAATCCTCCCTAACGCTCCAGTACAGGCAGGGCTGGCTTGCAGAAAGGAGCCAGAAGTTAGAAACCAAGAGCTGAATTCTGATCTCAGTTGCACCCGTAAATCGGGGGTCATCCCATTGAAGCTAATTTTGTCTCGAAGCGTAATGAAGTCCAACGGCTAGAAAGCCAGCGACACATGCCTGGACTGACCCCAGTGCAACAGAGTGCAGAGTTTGATCCAGCATCAGTTAGACTAGTCCCAAGCTGCAAATATTTTTTGTAAACAGGTAGCCACACTTGGCCCTTTCAATGCCACATAAGACAAAATCTGAAAGAACCAAAACAGAGAGACCTTACATGGGGCTTGCCACAGCAGATCAGACCCTGGGTCCATCTGGTCCAGTCTCCTGTCTCTGATAGTGGCCACAATCAGATGCTTCAGAGGCCTGCAGTAGGCAATTATGGAATAACCTGCCCACACACAACACGTCTACCTGACACCCATCAGTTAGAATTGGTTTGCAGAGGACCTGGATCAATGTTTTAAAAACCCTAATATAATAGGGGACGTTCTCATCAGTAACACACATCACTGTAAACGCCTAGCTTTCAGGCCATGACTTCCCACAAGTAGTGGGAGCTCCATTACACTTTAAAAAGAGGATGCCCTTTGCTCCGACATCCTCTTGGCCTTGCTTGCACTGAGAATGTGTTGCACGGTCTGGGGAAATGAAGCCAAGGCGGCACTCAAAACCTCTGGTCCATACACAACAGGAGGGATCTGTGGCTCTCCAAAGGATGGCCTGGGATTTTGGCTGGGAAGGATGACAGTACAAGGTTGTGTTTCATGATGTTTCTTTGAAGTTAAAAGCAAATCCAAACCTGTCCCCCCCACTCCCCAAAAGGTTTTTGCATCCTTATGTAATATGCACAAGTTCTTATTAATACTGTAACAAAGCCACGGCTATTCGGGGGTTCGTGAAGCTTGCTCTGTTGTGTATCACTCAACTTCAAACTGGGAGCGGAGATTTTAAAAAAACCACCTACAACACAAGAAGAGCTGGTTCCTGCAAGGTGATCAGTGCCTTGAGAGGCACAGGGCTGCCAACTCCCTCCAGCAGGCAGGGTCAAATCCCCCCCAAACACACCCCTACTACTTGAATTAATGGAGCATCTATGACACGCCGTGAATCCGTTCTGGTGACACCCATTAAAGGGCAGGGGAAACTGTAAACCCCCATGGCAATGCAACTCTGTACACAGTGCAACAGAACACAACGACCCAAAAACGCGGCTGGGATCTTACCTTGCTATGAGGATCCGCAAACATGCGAGTAAAGATCTCACACAGCCTTTTTAACTCGACTCGGCTAAAACACAAAAGAGGGCATTATATTAAAGATAAACCTCTTATTCACAGCAGAGTAGGTTACAGCTGTTGGCGATGGTGGGAAGCGACTGAGAGCTGGCCTTTTAAAGTAGAGCTAGCTTACATAAAAAGCTGTGCTGATCCCACTACGGGTGTCATTTAAAAGCCATTTGGTTAAACTGGTGCGAGTGGCGCTGATGCTTTCTGGGTTGCCTGTTCAGGGAAGCTAGCAGGCCTCGCAGTCTGCGAGGGTGTGAATTTAAAAGCCACAAGCTACTCTGCGCTAACTCCCTGTGTGGACTCTCTTAGCATGTGATAAGTGCCGATAGCTTAGTGCATTTTCAAAACAAGACACAGGGATTTGTACCAAGTTTTTGGGAAAGGTCCTTTCCTTTTCTGCCGGGTACAGATTCCCTCATCTCTCTTTTTGGGGAAGTAACATTTTCTACGTAGGAAGAGTGTCTGCTCTGTTTGGGTCAGGTCCCGACTGCAGTTCGTATGCGAACCCTGAGCAATTCCACTGCAGCCTGTCCAGATTTACAGTGTAATGATGGATTTGGATGCGGGAATCTGGCTCGCTCCGCAGGCAGGAAAGAGGGAGGTGTGGAACGGGAGCGGGTCGCTGCAAAGACTCCGTAAGCTATAATTAATCAACGGGGATGAGACATAAATGTGAGGTTCAGATGGCAGAAGATTATTGGGTGCTTAAGAAACAGAGAGAAAAAAGCAAGCGGCGTTTTCTGCAGACAGAACCCATCATGGGTCCCCGCTTTTGACAGCTACTCGAATCCAGAGCCATCTGCAAAAATGGTTTCGTGGCAAAACTCCTCTCTCAAAGGCATTAGAGACCATGGGGCCAGATCCTAAGGCCTTTACTCTCTTTTTTTCTCATTGTGGTAAGACTGCCAATGAAGACCATGAGAGTTTGGGCTTATTAAGACCCAAGTGGAAACAAGCTAAGGGCAGTAGGATAACACTCCAGCGTGAGCTGACCGCTAGCAGTTATTGCTGACCATGTCACACTGTCCTCTGAAACCAGAGCAAATGGGCGAATACATCTGGATTCTTTAGAGACCGCCTGTTCAGGTCTGAATATAGACTTCTTTTCTCCACTGACTTCCACCCACAGAGATTAAACCAAGCCTCGCAGGACGGGCAAGGGTGCATGAGCAGTCAAACACTGAGACACATTTGCAGAGAGAACTTAATGGGGGAGAACTTCTCTCGCATAACTATTCTGAGCATGAAAGACAGAGACGGATTTTAAAAGGGTATAAGACAAAGGCAGCAGTCTCCCGAGAAGCAGATAGCCTGCTGTCAGCCTAATTCAGTGCGGAGACTGCGCTGGCTCCAAGTGACAGCTCGGCAACTCTCCCCTGCCCTGATGCAGATCGCTGCTCCTTCTGAATAACCACCTCGTTATTTCCCTGATGAAATTTATTTCCAAACAAGGGACACATGAACGCGGCTATTGTGCGTGTTCTTGCTTTCAATGCACTCTAACCTACGATAACAATAGCGGTGCCAACCTCAGCCAGTTGAACTACATTTTCTCAAGGGACTCGCTGGCCCTGGCTATATCTAAGTGATCTTGCCAGGGCCAGTTTATAAGAAGCCTTAAACAGCGAGAAGGGGAAAATATAATGGACCATTTGTATTACTTTGGATCCTGCAACCTTTCCAGGGCCTTGGCTGGTTAATGCAGGACCAGGCCCTCTTCAGCCCTGAGAAATCAAACCCAAGCTCAGAGAAGTAAAACCAGCCACTTCTTCATTAAACTTAAGTTATATAACAAGATGATGCTGCAGCCAATCACGCTGTGTCTAATAGGAAAGTTTTCTCTTCTACTATTTGCACCTTGGACTATAAGGACCTGATGCTTTCCCAGTGATACCATGGGGACACCTGGGTTGAACTACTCCAGGAGGCACTGCTGTAAGAGCATCACAAGATCACCGTAGTAAGCTGGAGGAGGATATTACAAACCAGAAGAGGTATAAATTGCAGGAACAATATCAACATTTTTTTTTTAATGGATGGATTTAAAATGAAGATGGTGTACTATAAAGCTGGGACTGGTTTATAATGCATCCAGGATCAGAGCCAAGGCAATCTGTCCAGACTGGGGGCTCGGGGCTAGGAGGGCCATTTGAGATACCAGGACTAGGAAACAAAGGCTTTCTACCACTGGGACATTATTCTGCAGGAGGTACGCAGCCAGGGAATCCTCCATCACGTGGTGTTCCCAAATCTCCCCCCCGGCTGACATCACACCACCCCGCTCTCCGATCGTATTCGCACGCACCTACACACCACAACCCAAATTCGACACTGCTTCCTGTGCCCGCATGTGTGGTGCCAATGGGCCCCTGCCAGATCATTAGTAGAAAATCATTGGGTAACAAAAACCAGTGTGCATGTGGGAAGTTTATTTTTAAAGCCTTTTGAATAGGTCAAATGAAGAAAAATAAAAAATAAAAGGATTTCCATCAGACCACACAGAGACACATCTGTGACCCAGGAAGAATGTCACTGCCACATGGCAAGTTTCTAGCACCTCCCACTGAGACACTACAGCTGTTCAAACACATGGGTGGAAAAAGCTTTTTATAATGGCAGGACTATTTCCTCTCCCCTCACCATTCTCTCAGCATAGCTTTGGTCTCCGGCAGGCTTTTGCTTGGACGGCCAGCGAGAGCAATCAAAAAGTTATAACAACTGGAAAAGTCCTTTAGAATGGAAAATCAGGGCAACCTTAATGAAGGGACTGTTGATCCGACAACAGCCATTTCTAAACCTACTTATAGGATCAGAAGGCCTGGAAAGGAACTCATGAGTTCATCGAGTCCAGCCCCCTGCTGAAGGTAGTATCATTCCCGACTAAACCATCCCAGCCTAGTCTAACCTGCTCTTGAAAATGTCCAGGGATGGAGAGTCTACAACCTTTCTAGGTAGCCTATCCCTGACCTCCAACCTAAATTTCATTGCCTTTTATAATGTTTGTTTGCATTACTCTGAACTGATTAAAAATGTAAGTGTTAACATGTCCTCTCCGAAGCAGCAAACCCTGCAAGAAAGCCGCAAGTAAACACTTGTTTCCCGGCACTTGCACCATCAATGGTTTTTCATTGTCCGTCCATACACGCCAGGATCTTAAAACACTTCCTTCTTCCCCGCTATAAGTTGTCTTGTCTATATGAAGCTCAAGTATGATTTTTAATGCAGTGTTCACAAGGGGTCACAAAAATGATACCAAACATCATGAATAGTGTGTGTGTGCGCGCGCGTGTGCACATGCATAAGTTCAGGGCAATCCTTGATCTCAGTTTTATAGTATATAGAATATGATGAGCAGTGGCTTCACAGAAAAGTTGCATTATTCTGCACTGATTAAAAAATTAAGTATTAACATGTCCTCTCCAAAGCAGCAAATCCTGCAAGAAAGCCGCAAGTAAACACTTGTTTCCAGGCACTTGCACCATCAATGGATCGGTTGCTTTTGAACAGTGCCCCTAACAGAAGTCCCCAGATAAGCCCCCAAAGAAGGAGCTGCACAACCGAATCAGAGCGCGCTTTGGCTGTGCTAGGTTTTTGGCAAGCAAATTTTGCGAGCAATATAGCAACTTCCCACGAATGACCGCCACTGCCAAGCTACAAAGATCAATCAGGGCAACCTTAATGAAGGGACTGTTGATCCGACAACAGCCATTTCTAAACCTACTTATAGGATCAGAAGGCCTGGAAAGGAACTCATGAGTTCATCGAGTCCAGCCCCCTGCTGAAGGTAGTATCATTCCCGACTAAACCATCCCAGCCTAGTCTAACCTGCTCTTGAAAATGTCCAGGGATGGAGAGTCTACAACCTTTCTAGGTAGCCTATCCCTGACCTCCAACCTAAATTTCATTGCCTTTTATAATGTTTGTTTGCATTACTCTGAACTGATTAAAAATGTAAGTGTTAACATGTCCTCTCCGAAGCAGCAAACCCTGCAAGAAAGCCGCAAGTAAACACTTGTTTCCCGGCACTTGCACCATCAATGGTTTTTCATTGTCCGTCCATACACGCCAGGATCTTAAAACACTTCCTTCTTCCCCGCTATAAGTTGTCTTGTCTATATGAAGCTCAAGTATGATTTTTAATGCAGTGTTCACAAGGGGTCACAAAAATGATACCAAACATCATGAATAGTGTGTGTGTGCGCGCGCGTGTGCACATGCATAAGTTCAGGGCAATCCTTGATCTCAGTTTTATAGTATATAGAATATGATGAGCAGTGGCTTCACAGAAAAGTTGCATTATTCTGCACTGATTAAAAAATTAAGTATTAACATGTCCTCTCCAAAGCAGCAAATCCTGCAAGAAAGCCGCAAGTAAACACTTGTTTCCAGGCACTTGCACCATCAATGGATCGGTTGCTTTTGAACAGTGCCCCTAACAGAAGTCCCCAGATAAGCCCCCAAAGAAGGAGCTGCACAACCGAATCAGAGCGCGCTTTGGCTGTGCTAGGTTTTTGGCAAGCAAATTTTGCGAGCAATATAGCAACTTCCCACGAATGACCGCCACTGCCAAGCTACAAAGATCACCTCAGTGTCCTCTGGCTCTTCAATAAGTTCTGGAGACCGATGAGACCCTCCTTTCTCTCCGACCAGTTGGAGCTAGCGCAGTGGTTCAGGACCTCAGCCACATCCTCCGTTTGCCGCAGGTAGTGGGGAATGCCTCCGTTTCGGGAACCGTAGGAGCGCTCGGAGCAAGCGCTGGACGCGTCGCTGTTAGCATCGTCATCGGAATACATCCCGTACGGCTCGTATCTTCTCCTCACTGGCTTTTTCTGGAAGTGGAGGGGGAAAACCTGCACACTTAATAAGGGGTACACCATTACATCCAAGGCAAAAGATGCTCTGACTATATTGCAAGCGAAGGAGGCTGGCAGCTGTTACAGCAGCGCAACGGTGTTGCACTGAGCACTGGCCAGTTTACCTTCCTTGCTTTTGCAAGAAGAGTCCTGCTGCTTTCGGTGGGAATATTCAAACTGAGAGGAGCAAGCTGATGCTTAAACAAGGCAAATGAATTAACTCGACTGAAATGTCAGCTACAAGTGGATGTCATTGCATGCTGTTTTTATTGAAAGTAATGGATGTCTCTCTGGTTACAGAGTCAATCGACAATGCAGCTTTTACTTCAGGACAATTTAATCAGGCACAAAGAAGAATCTGCAAATAAACACTTCTGTGCAATAATGTAGGACAGGTGAGGGTGCACAGGGGTATCAATCCAGAGTAACGAACTTCACTATAGTCAGTGGCATTACTCCAGATTGCCAATCAGCTACAAGAGATCACAACGAGTCTCTTATTTTGGGCTGGGGATTTTTTGACAGTGCCCTGAGGGTCAAGCATCACAAAACCATGCGTTTTAATGGCTTCAGGGCACCTCACTCCCTTAGGCACCTTTGAAAATCCCAACTGATTTTCAAAGGTCCCTCAGGGAATGAGGCGCCCTGAAGAGCGATCAGGATAATTATAATAATAAATCAAATATAATTCCATGGCAGAAACACTTAAACAACCCTTAACAGAAAAGAATTGACAAAAAATGTACGAGAAAAATGTCGCCTGTATTCTTAGGTGATTACTATGCAATTCCTTTCTGAGAGCCCAATTCTGCAGTCCTTATACTTGTAAAGCCAACAAATGCTTGGCTTGGATTAGCACTCCACAATTGGGCAGTAATAAATTAGCAGCAATGGGGAAGGGGGAGGTGGGGTTGCAACAGGGGAAAAAAAAAGGGTTGGAAAGTAGAAATAAAAAGTCAAGAAAGCAATAGTACCTTGCTCCTGGAGTCTCCTAACAGCTGTAGGCAGGAAAATATTGAAGGGTGGGAAAAAGCATAGAGAATTATGTCAGAAGCTTATGTAGGGATCATTCTTGCAACAAAAACGTACAGCAAATGTGTCTTAGCAAATGAAAAAAAAAACAAAAAAAACCAAAAAACAGTTTACGCAAAACAAAATAAAAGTGGGTATAAAAAGGCCTGGCTTCATATCTCATCCCATTCACCTGGCACAGACGAGGCTCCCATTCGAGCGCTTGGGACTGGAATCGTCCCTTCCTTACTGGTTTACATTGGCGGCGCTCCCTACACCATCTCTTTGTTTGACCTCTTCAGAAGCTGCGTTACCACAGGCCCGATTTGAGCCGCTCGTTTGTCCACTAGAGGCAGCACCTGATTACGGAGTCGTGGATGGAGCTGCTGATGCCGAGAAGCAACTCTGCACAGTACCGCCCCGCTTAACCAACTCCAATTAACCAAGAGCATTTTTTTTTTTGTCTCGGAAACATCCCCCCCTGTTCCTTAAAGCGCTGCGTCTTTGAAGCCAGCTGGCTGGCCCCTCTTGCATTTAACACCCCATTTACTCAAAAAGTCCCTGATGTTCCTTGAAGCGTTCAGATAAATCAGCTTGTGCTGTGTACCGATTCCAAGTACGGACCTTTGGACAGGCGGTGCGAGTCTCGGGGCCAATTTCTGCTCTCGCACATGAGCGCAGGAATCAGCGGGAGCTGTACTCATGTATTAGAGGTCAGCATCTGACCTGTGGCATTACTGCTCAAACATGAGTTTTGGGCCAAAGCCATCTTTAGAGAAATTCCTCTCCTTGCCTGCAAGAAGGCGAAGAATGCTCTTTCTGTATACAAGGCTGCTGGAGAAAAGCTGGCACCATACTCCTCGCCCGCCGCAAAGACTGAACTGCCTTTGTCAAGTCTGTGCTGGGAGATGGAGGCCCGCAGAGAAGAGCAGAGACGGGGCCGGCAAGGAGGGGGTCTACAGGATGGACCTGCATCTCTTGCAGAAGCAACAACTCGGATATTAAACTACATTTTAGAGCAACGGCTCCCAGAACCAGAACATTACACTGAAGCTTTTTAAGCCTAAAAAGACTGAAACCAATAAGAGGGAAAGAAGATATGGAAAACTGGCCCTAAAAATTTCTAGGACTCCCTTTCAGGATGTTACCACAATATATACGGTATTCCTTAGATGGGTGGTTCCCAAACCCTGACATTGCGCACCACCAATTTAAAATTATACGGCTTTAAGTACCACCAGCAAATGTTTGTCATAATGAGTAATTATAATAAAACGGTGTTAATGTGTACCGCTGACAGGTGGTCTGCGTGCCACGGGTGGGACCCGTAGCACAGATTGGGACCTGCTGCTTTAGACTGCACTGCCCCATATTCTCTGTGGACAATGCTTACATTATAAAGGAATATTAGCTGGTTAACTGGCCAACATTTAAAGGGAGCCCGCTATCTCTGTTTCAAACTCTGAGCCGTGTTCGAACAGATCTCAAGCCTGAGACACTGTCATGAAACTGTTCGAACAAGCAAGCCTGCAGCAAAGTCCTCGTGGACAGATTCCCATCTCAATGATGCAGATGTAAAATAAGAGCAACTGCATCAACAGCAGTGATGTTAGAAGTCATTTGACTGAGACCAGAAGTTGGCCCACAAAATATCTGCTCTATCTGGTCGCTCAACAGATTGATTTAGGCCAATTAAATGTAACAGCATAGGCTGTTCTTAATGTTTTATTTTTATAGCATGTTGAATTCGTATTTCTTAAAACTGGTTTAGAACAAGGGGGATTGCTCTTCAGCTAGGCAGTTCCCAACCGTCATCTGGGAGAGGTTGCTGGTAGTTTTGGAGAGATGTCACTGAAATGCAGTTACGTGCTCAAAAACAGAAGGAAACAAGGTGTGGACAACTGAACGGGAAAGAATGGGGTCTGCCGGGGGCATTTGGGGAAGGGTGTCCCCAACCAATACTCCCAATGGGGACATCATTCATAACATGGAAAGTTTTAAGCGCTTCAGTTGTTCCAAGATGCCAGTGCACTCTGCTACTGCTTGGAAAGGGAAATAACTCACAGAGGGATCAGGGAAATCACGGAGGGAAGGGTGTATAAAACACAAAACAAACTGCCTTTGTTCCTAGGGACACAGCAAGCCAGCAGGTTGCAGCTTGACTGGGAAACAGAGACACTCGAGTTTGACTAGAGATTAACTAAGCTCAGTGGGATCTAATGTTCACACAGGACTGACTGTACCTTTTGCCCCAAACATCCAGGTTAGTACCCAAGTCTTCCTCATGTCAGCTCCCTGAAAAGGTGCCCACCCCTCCCAGAACACCCTTGCTGAAAGGAAAATTTAAAAGAAAAATGGACGATTCCCCCTTTGGCTGCTGGCAAAGCACTTGGCTTATCTGACAGTAACCACCGAGGGTGACCCGACTGCTGTAAGAAAAAGGTAGCATCGGAAACACCCCATCCAAAGGCAGAAGGACAGCTCTCAGACATCCACACAGTGTCAGACACTGGCACAATTCAAACAGCAGCAATTCAAGAAGAGGGGAACATATGCACAGGGAACTTTAGGCCACTTTCTGGTGTTGGAAGTATTTTGCATTTTTTTCCCCTCTTACCAGTGCATCCGCCACGGCGGCCTCCAGATCCGTGCTTGTGCTCAGGACTCGCATGGCATTCACGGAGGCAGGCAGCCTGCCTGGCTGTCCAAGGCCAAACCGGTCTGCACAAAAGACAACATTGAAAGAGAGTGTTAAGCCCATTCACGTCCGCACTGAAGTCTTACCAGGCATCTGACCATGAAGCTCCTGACCAAAGGCTCTGGGAATTCTCACACCGGTTCATTAAAGACTGACAGATACTGCCACGCTAGCAAAAAAATAAAATTAAAATTAAATGCTAATAAGTACTGTGGCTTGGAAGGTCCCCAAGACACTGTTTTTGGCCTTGATGGGCATGTTTTACTGTTGAAAGGCTGGGGAAGAGGAATCTATTTTTTCTTTCTATGCCTTTCCCTTTTCTATTCTTGTTAAATCTCTTATTAATCTTATCCTTTTGTTTTCATGGGGCAAACATGGAGGGAAAGCAAAAGAAACAAAAAACCCTGTTCATTGACTTTAATGAGGCCCACGTGAGCCTTTGATTCCATTACTCGTTAAACACAACCCAGCACCGATCCTGCAACTTCCTCCTACGTAACTAGCCCTTATTCATGCACGACACTGCATTGGGCCCTTATATATTAAGTTTCAAAGGCTCGTTAACTAGTAGAACGGTCTTTCTCTCTGCTATGGGAAGACACAGAAAGGGGAACAAATGTATCATCTGATCATCTGTGGAGCGACTCCAGTCCTGTCCGTGTTGTTTAATGGCTTTTCAGGACTGGTTTAAATTTACTCTGGGATGATACTTGACCTAAAAGCTGTTTCTGAATTCAAGAAGCAATTTCTTTTGTAGCAGCAGCACGTTGATATTTCCTACAGCAGCGAGAACATGGAGTGAATAAAGCGCGCTCCAATACTATTCCTACTCCAGATGCAAGGAGACGCTATTCTGTTGGCCCTCCAATGACATAAGCTATATGGAGTGGTAGAGGGTGACATCTTTTATTGGACCAATTGCCTGGCTGGAATAAAGCGAGACCGGCTTTTGAATGCAAAACATTCTTTATCAGGTCTCCCATAAGCTATATGGGACATATATGGGATGGAGCTGGACTGTTCCCAGTGGTGGCAGATGACAGGACAAGGAGCAATGGGCTCAAGTTGCAGCAAGGGAGGTTTAGATTAGATATTAGGAAAAGCTCTCTCATGAGGAGGGTAGTAAAGCACTGGAACAGGTTACCCAGAGAGGCTGTGGACTCTCCATCCTTGGAGGTTTTGAAAACCCAGCTAGGCAAAGCCTTGGCTGGGATGATCTAGTTGGCCATGGTCATGTTTGGAGCAGGGGGTTAGACTAGATGAGACCTCCTGAGGTCCCTTCCAACCCTCATTTTCTATGACTCTATAAAAATACTCCATATTTTCATACTGCAGAGTGTCCTGACTCAGTAATAACTCGGTAACTTGGCTCATGTTCCAGAAAGGTCTCTTGAGAAGCCACTTATCAGTATTATCTTGCCTGCCGCTGCTTCCATTGGAGTCAATCGCAAGACTCTTGTTGCCACGAAGGGTGCGGGATCAAGCAGTATGTGGGGGCCAAGATTGTGGCAAAACCAGTGAGTGAGAGGTGGGAAAAGGGATCAAGGCAAGTGATAGGGTTTTTGTATCTAAATTTAACCTAGAGAAAATGGTCATTGCCTCTAACGGAGATTACTTGTACTAGTTAAGTGTCGTAGACGTAGAATGCCACACTCGAAAGTTTCGAGTGCAAACGTTTAAAAGTGAAGAGTAATTATCAATAAGAAAATGATGCCTAATTACAGTCTCAATGCTGGTATTTTTAATTCTAGTGCCTAGAAAACTCTTGCAAGCAGCAATGAGGGATAAACATCTCATTAGACTGGGGTATGAGTGTCACACAGGGAAGACCAGTTTGCGTGCTATTTGAATTTCTCTCTCAAGGGCTCAAAAGCTGGCAGTTTCTATTCAGGCAAAGCTCTATGTTGAATTCAACCTGACTTTTGTCTGAGTAAGACTCTGAAGGATTAAAGCTGCCAAAGGGAAAATAGGGAAGTGGATTTGGGACTTTTAAAATATCCTGAAGACGATCTTTGCTTTTAAATGTGGAGGGATGATGCTGATGAGACTGGGGCTTTCCCCGTTATCCTTCAGAGCACCTGTTCTACAAAACACATAACAAGGAAAACAAAATTAGCATCTGTAAAAAAACCGCCAAAAACGATTGCCAACAAGTAATCAAATCACGATGTCTTGTAAGGAAATAAAAAATAGTATGTGTTATCACTATCCCCCTTTTTTAATGCACTCAGTTGCACAACCATGAAAAATACTTGATTGGCGTGGCAACTTCATCCCAAACTGGAAAGACCTGCAACTCCTTCCACAGGTGCACTGATGAGGTGCTCCTATATTCGATATGACATGTATGTATGCTATGTATACACAGCTCTGTACATGGATTTAGGAAAAGAGTCGAGGAGTCACAAGTATTGTCATAAATGTGGGTGGATAACTAGTGCTGAGGCCAATTCTGCTCCCAGTTACACGGACGCGACCCACCTGCCTTCAGTGGCACGCTTGAAGTGTTACCGAGTGCAGAACTGCCCTCCCCGTTTCTAAAATATTCGAGCAAAGAGCATTTTGAGTGCCCTTCGCTTTCAGGTGAATTTTGTTTCACATTAGAAAAGGGAGGATAGTTTCTTTCTAAATGGATAACAGAATGGCAAAGGAATTCAGTTGTACATCGGTTTAAAAATGCCCAGCGTAAACAGAAAGAAAATAGAGCCATTCCTAAATAAATCAGAATAACGCATGCTGGTGTCTCTCTTGCTCCAAGGGTCCTTCTACAATTGTTGAAATACAGGTTTAAACATCGGTGGAAAGTGGAACGGAGAAGACATGGGCTCCTACTCCCCGATACCCTGTACCTGTGTGGAAATGAAGTGAAGTCTCTTTGTAGCTTCCTGATTCTGAGCAGTGCTGGGGACATACCTGGTACCGAGGATAACTTCGGGCAGCCTCCAGACGTAGACTGAAAAGAGCAGCCAGAGCATGATTCATGGGCATGCGCTCTTGCTCCCACAGCCCAGCTGTTATACCTGCTCGGAGCTGGCTGGAGCATCTTTTTCCTAGGTATAAGCCTTTGACGCAGGCAACGCTGTCTAATCGGGCCACGTCAGAAAGCAATGCTGGGGCCACACTTTGCAAGCTGTATCCAGCTTTGTCATGTGCAGCAGGTTATCACCATCTTGGCGCCAGCCGTGCTACCTATGGGCTCATGGACTCCCCTTCGGATTCAGAGGGAATTATACAGATTTAATAGCTACATGAACGGGCCCGATTTTTTTCAGTTGCAGCTTGCAGCTCACAAACTGCAGAGTGACGTGGTTAGCCATGTGAGCCTGAAGCCAAGCAGAAGGCAGGGTAGATCTGTACCTTATGGACTAACCAACAGGTGCGTTGTAACGTGTATGGCTAACGTACACTTTGGTTAGTCCATAAGGTGCAAACCTACTCTCCCTTCTACTTGACGACTTCAGACTCACATGGCTAACCGTGTCTCTCTGCAGTTTGCTAGATACAAACTACAACTGAAAAAAAGCAGAATCATTTGTGTAGCTATTAAATCTGTACAAGCCCCTCTGAATCCAGAGAGCCCGTAGGCAGCAGGGCTGGTGCCAAGATGGTGATCCCTCTTTCTTTCCAACTAACAAACTGGTTTAGATTTAGATTTGGACTAGCAGGATACGTCTACATGAGATGTTTACTGCAGAGCAAGCTCTGGAGCACCCTCATGCCCCAGCCAGCCCTCCGCAGCATGGTGAGCTGGAGGAAGCAGCCCCGGGTTTACAGGCTGATGCCCAAGGCCCCCTGCCAGCTGGGGCTGCTCCAACCTGGCTCAATATGCTGCAGTCCCAGGCTTTACTGCTTTGCATTAAACTGCACATGTAGATACGCTCACAGGCTAGTAAAAACCTCACCTACAATTAAAATAAATTAGTTAGGAATCTTCCTTATAGATTACCTCTTCCTCATATGAGCAGGTTCATTAGACTTGAACAGGACTTCTTGCATGAAGCAAATAAGCAGGACTTGGGCCTTAAAAAGATGGGGCCATTTGGTCTCAGGATATAGGGTGGGATCATTCACTTCTTGGGATTGCTTAAAAGCAGGAGTGTCATGCATACAGCTTGCACAGCTGCTGTATGCAGTTCACTCCGCTGCCTGCGGGCCACCAGATGTTGAGGACATAGCCAGGGCATGGCCTGCTACATAATCTGGGTCCCAATGGACATGGTGACAGCAGCCAGAGGATTAGCGAGGGCTGAAATAACTCTGATTGCCCCTCCAGCTCCTGGCTCCTGTGCTGAAGCCGGAGCTGGAGCTGCCACCACGGCACGGGGCATGTGGCGGTGGTAGACACTCCAGCTCTGATCCAGGGCGTATGGTGGTGCAGCTCCAGCACTGGCATGGGACACCAACAGGGGCCGGAGCCACCACCCGGTTTCCCAGCTCAGAGCAAGAACTGCTCCTACTGTTGCCTGCTCCAGGTTGGAGCTGGAGCTGCCGCTACTTCCTTATGCTTCAGTTTTGTCCTGATTTTGCCGTCTTTATGGAGGCATAATTCTCACTGGACTCAGTCTTCTCGAGGACACAGATTACTGGATCTCGTTTTGTTCCTGGAGCTAAAAATGCAGCATATTTCAGAGGAAGTGGAAAAGAAGCATGGGGTTCAGACCTTGGTCCCTACCGCAATTATTTGGCTAATTGCACTTATTCTCTGAAACGCATCTGGTTTTTAATTGTTGCTATTAGCTTATAAAGGTCAACGCATCCGTTCAACTGCACATTTGTTTCTGTACAATTACGGGGTAAAGATTCGGTTTTGAGAGCTGATCCAAGAATAGTCACTGAAGTCAACTGAACCTTAAAGCCAAAATGGGGAGCACTGCCAAAATGGGGACAGTGGTAGGGCTTTGGGTCTCATTAATGGCTCCACTCCTTTTCAACCACCCTATCTGGTGACACGCTGGAGTCCTCATTTACTTCTTACTTTGTCCTTGCCTCGGCTTCTTTCCCACTGAGACAAATCTTGAAATCT